TACCACAGGTGAATGGTTCAAATCCACCAGGCGCTTGTTAGGAGAAAGATGAGTCTATCTGCATAAAGATTTACAGCCTCAGAACTCTCTGAAGGGTCATTGCGTACTGTAAACATCTTGATGACAGCAGGCTTGCTTTGGGTTTGGATATATACCAGATATCCACTCAGCACTTTCTGCATAGTTCTGCATATTTATTTTCCATAGAAAATAAATCGGCTGTTTCCTAAGAAGCGAGAATCTCCTTGCACTGAAATGTTCCAGCACATGTGTGTTTTATTCAGTGCTGTACCCAGACTGAACATAGTAAATCCCCTGTAAATATTTCTGGTATGAAGGAGTTAGGCACCAAACGGATGGCTTTCAATTGGTGTTTGCTGTGTAACAAACCACCCCATGGCATTGTGGGTAAAGCAACAATGAGTCATCATTTTCATGATTCTGCGGGTTGATTGGACGTCTGAGATGGCCTCACCCACGTTTGAGACATCAGCTGAATGGCCCAGACGGAGAGGCCTCTTGTCCCTGTGGTTTCCATCCTCCATAATGGATGTCACTAGCTGCCTTGGGGTCACCTCAAACTCTTAGTGACCCCAAAACAAGGAAGTGAAATGCTGCCCAGTCCTAAGCCCTCCCCTGATCAATTGCAGATCAGCAATGAATGTTGTAATCCATAAGGTTTTGATTGGCTGATTTCCAGAAAAAGAGGACCAGACCTTTCTGCCATGCCACCTTAGTCTCGAAGCTCTGCTAAAACTTGTGCAGCATAATAGCAACCCTGGTGAAGAGCCTCGGATTTTCACAGGGCTTTAGCATCTCAAGAGGGTGTAAGTGGACGCTGCAACCAGCATCCCTGGTGGTTAGACTTGGAACTTACTTCAGGGCATTCTAGCCATCACATAAATCACAACCCAGCTCAGAAGAGGTGGGGAAATAGACTCCATCTCTTGGTTGGTGTATTAGGCAGGGTTCTTTGGAGAAACAAAACCAGGACACATGATTTTATATACATACATACATACATACATACATACATACAGCAAGAAGGAATATAACAGCTAATTAGTTCACACGACAGTACAGAGGGTTCAGTTCAACTCACTTCCGTGGAATAGTTTATATACTGGAAGTTCTTCAACTCACTGGGCTGCCAGGTCCAAGGTCAAGTAAGCAGAGAGCAGAGTCCTCCCTGGAGCAAGGCAAGCAGAGAATGCCCACAGGCAGCAAGCAGCAGGGTCACCAACGGTCAGTAGCTTGGGAACTTACGGAAGCAGCAGGCCTCGAGGATATATGAAACACAAGCAATGCAGGGCGACAGGATCCACCAGCCTCAAGTGATGTGTGATGTACACACCAGCTGCATGGCAAGGCAGGTCTTGAAGGAGCCTCAAGCTCTAGACATGATCCATGGGTTGGCCTGGCCCACAGGTAGTGTAGCTCACAGGTTGAGGCAGAGCACTAGCTAAAGCAGCAGCATGCTCCAGCACGCTCAGATCACCAGAGAGCAAGAGAGAGGGGGCAGACCTTATCTCTTTATCCTCCAATCAAACTGTAACCTGATTAATCCCACATGTTCCTATTGGCCAGGTTGGTACAACAAATCTATCACAGTTGGACTTACTGCAAAGAGTTTGTGGCCATTTTTAATCTGCCACAGATGATCAACCCTTAAAAATCCTCTGAAGGGAATTCTTGTAATGGAAGGAGGTTGGTCAAGCGGACTTCTCAGAGCCCTTCCAACTCTTGAGAGTCTACAAATCTACCAGGCTGAACAAATCTCATGGAGTGAGAGATTAGTTCCCCAAGGACCAAGTTCAGAAGGGTTAGGAAAGGAGGGCGAATGGGAACATGATCCAGGGAGGAAGGGAAGGGACAACGATGGTGCAATGAATGAAATGTACTGTGTTTGGATTGTTGAGTGTGAAACTAGTGATCTGCTCTGTGAACCTTCAAAACCAATCCACAGTAAAAGCTGAGGGAGGGAGGGAAGTGGGGGAGGGAAGGAGGGAGAGAGAGAGAGAGATTGGGACGAGTTCCTCTCAGGAAGTTATCTGGAAACTTGAATGCTCTACTTCTGATAATTCCAACGATAATTACCCTACAGTTATTTTGAAACTCTTACCGAGATCTAGCATTCGTATTTGTCCTTTGTTGTTAGATGCATTTAAATCAGTTCCAATTCATAGCAACCTTATGTGCAGGCACAATCCCCACAATTGTTTGAGCCTTACGTGTTTCCAAATGCCCATGAGAATTTTATTAGTGAAAGTAATATTTCTGTTATAATGTGGAGCAGCAACATTCTCCTTCTGTGTTAGTCTGGATTGACTAGTGAAACAAATCCAGGAAGACTTATATGTGTCTAAGAGAGTTTTATATCAAAGACTAATTGTATATTAACGAAACATCACACCCCAGTCCAGATCAAGCCCGTAAGTCCAACATTAGCCCATATGTCCGATACAATTCTATAAGTTCCTCTTCAGAGTCACGCACCACATGCAATGACGCTAAATCCAGGTAGATCACAGGCCAGTGGATGGAAAGCCTTGTGGATCCAATGGTGGTGGAAGCGTCTCAGTGCTGGTGTGGGTTTCCACATGGCTCCTCCAGTTCCAGGACTCTGGCTCCATCAGCATAGCTCCATCTGGCTTGACCACAGGAAGAAGAAGCAGAGAGGGAGTGTGTTCCGCCTCCAGGGAGGAAGACAAGAGTTTCTAGAAGCCTCAGAAGGCCGTGTCCACAGAGAGACCTTATTGGCTATGATCTTTGTTCAAGGTGACAGGAGATGATACAACTGCCACATGAATACAGGCAAACTCCTTACTCTTATTCATACATCAAATATTCATTTTTAGAAGTCAATGAGATCAATCCTATAACACTTATTTTTCTTCACTAAAGGAGAGTGCTTACATTGTCACCTCAGATTGCTATTTGCTATTAAAGTTGCAACACTACCATTTTTCTGTAACCTGCTTCAATCATTCTTTTACATAATTTTTAATAAATTAAAAATATTCCTTTGAAACTATTTTAGTAGTAGACAGGTGACTGCAGAAATGGCACTTAAGTAACATAGATAATATGTGAACACTTTGTATAACTTCCCATTAAGGTTTTGAACACACCATACTATATTAGGAAAAACAGTATGAAGAAGATGAAATCGCTAACAGCTGAACTATGACTTAATAAAGTTTATACCATGAATATTTTGCTAGTATATTTTTCAATTAATTGGAAATCATGCACATTGTGGATAATTTTTGAGAAATGCTTGGGGCAAATACTTCACGCATGACGGTTTTAGTGATCATTTGTAGGAATCATTTTGTTTTAAATTAGCGTTCATGACTCACCAGCAAAATAAGCCAGTGAGATTTCAAGAGAGAAATTTTAAGGTGAAGACAGAACCCTTGCTAACCACTCCCACTCCTAAAACTCTACACCAGTGCTTTCTCTATTCTTTTCAAAATTCGACACTTAAATCTCAGACAACTCTCAACCATTTAGTAAGTAGAGCTAGTTTATCGTGGATGCAGGTGCTAGTTCTTGAACGGATTGTGGATAATTAACCTGATCAGGTGACATTACCAGGAATTTGTCTCTTTTTGAATTCCCAAATTAAGTTTAGGATAATATTGATTAAATAGAGCTAACCCTTTGCTTAAATATTCTGATTCCAAGTAGCAAGTAAATTTCCTTAATCATTAGCTTACACACTCTCCAATAGAAATACACTGTGAGCCTTATACACATTTCGGAAGGTACCCTGGTGGCCAGACCATGGGTTCTGCGTTGGGGTTGGGCTGCTAACAGCCAGGCGTGCAGTTTGAAAACCCAAAGGGGCAGTTCCAGCCTGTCCTGTATGGTCACCGTGAATCAGAATAGACCAACGGCAGTGAGTTTTACTGTTTTCACAGAGAGGGGCGCTACGGGTGGCATTTGTGTAGTGCTTGTTTGCTCTGCAATCCCTTTCTTTAAACTCTCCAGTTCTGGCAAAAGTGGAACGGGGATCATGTGCAATCTGGCATATCCAACTCATGACTGGGGCTTCCTGACTCCCAGAAGGCCTGAATCATCTGAAACGTTGACTGATGAGCCATAGGTGACTCAATGTAATGTGAACCAGAATCGCCTTCCAAGGAAGCTTCGTTTCCACTTCCTTTTTTCCCTGCCCCCTCTTTTGGGGTGACTCATCCTGCCATCACGTGAAAGTCCAGCACCGAGCCCTGAACCCTCGTGCAAGAAGGGCGGACTTTCAATCAGACCCTAGATCCTGTTCTCAGCTGTGTCCACCTCACTCCAGGGGCTGCACTTCGACTGAGCGTGCCCTTCAAGCCGACGTGCGCACACACTTAAGCTATTGGCATAGTGGTGGTAGACTAGTAGTAATGATGCAGTTTGGGAATTTACATTTGGAAAAACCCCATAATCTTTTATTTCAAACTCTTTAAAAATCGGATGCATATTTAAATCATGAAGGCCTACTTCACAATCCCGTTAGTACCTTCCCGGGGTGCTTCCTTTTCTGGGAGGAAAGTTTCCAACCTCGCCCTCCCTCCAGTTAACACCCTTCCGGTGGCGGCGCGCCAAAAACCTCTCGCAGCCCGCCGGGCCCACAGCCTACCCACTCTCGCTGGATCTTAACGACCCACTGACCCCGCCCGGCCAAGACCCCACCCAGACGCCCAACAACCCAAGACGGAGGGTGGGGCCCGCAGGCGCAAGCCCCGCCCACGGCGCAATCCCAGCCGGTAGGAGGGAGGAAATACAATAAGTCCCACCCACACACGTCTCTCTCTCTTTCTGTTGGGCCGCCCGGCCGCCCATCACTTCCATCCAGTAGCCGATTGGCTCCCTCTCTCCCGCGCCTGTCCCTGCCGCTCCGGTCGGGGAGGCGGAGTCACGCCAAACTGGGCGGAGAGTCGGCTGGCCTCTCTTCTTCGCCGGTCTGGGCGGCGGCGGCGGCCACTGGGGACGGGGCGGGTGGCGCATCACGGGCGCGGAGGCAGGAGGAGCGTTCTTTCTCATTGTTCCGAGAGCCGTCGCCACTGCAGGTCCCTCGGCTCGAGCGGCCCGGCCCCTCTCAGCCCGCCCCACCCCCCACAACCGCCCGCCACCCGGAGGAGCAGCGCCCTGCGGCTGCAGTCACAGCAGCTTCCCGGAGCCGCCCGCCATGGAAGACCTGGACCAGTCGGCCCTGGTCTCCTCGTCCTCGGACAGCCCGCCGCTGCCGCAGCCTCAGTTCAAGTACCAGTTCGTGGCGGAG